ATTAAGTACTTAACCCAAGGTACCACTGTATTTGGTTGGGGCTGCACTGGCAATTCCAAGGAGAACAGCAAGAGTCGAAAGCTGTTTTTCTCACTTAAGGTCAGTTTTGTTTTGTTTTATTAATGTATTTGTTAAAGTTACAGTGGTACCTCGGTTCTCGGACATAATCCGTTCCGGAAGACCGTTTGACTTCCGAAATGTTTGGAAACCAAGGCGCAAAGGGCTGGCTGCCAGTTGGAAAAATTGGAAAACACACAGCGGAAGCCATTTGACCTTCGAGGCGCATTCGAAAATGGAAGCACTACTTCTGGGTTTTTAGTATTCGAAAACCGAAACGTTCGGCTTCTGAGATGCTCGAAAACTGAGGTACCACTGTATATCCTACTTTTCCTCCAAGGGGCTCAAATGGTTCTCCTCCCTCTCCATTTTGCCCTTTCAACAACTCTGTGAGGTAGGGTAGACTGAGAGACAATGACTGGTTCAAGGTCACCCAGTGAGCTTCAAGGCTGAGTGCGGATCAGAACCGCAGTTTCAGAGGTCTTAGTGCAACACTCTAACCACTACATCATGCTGGTGGTTTTAGGTCCACAACTATGGTCAATAAACAATATGAACATAAAGCCAATCTTATTGCTTTAAGTCATTTCCCCCCAAACTTGGGTCTCCAGCTGTTTTGGACTACAGTTCCCATAATCCCTGATCACTGGTCCTGCTAGCTAGGGATGATAGGAGTTGTAGTCCAAAAACAGCTGAAGACTCGAGTTTGGGAAACACTGCTGTAAGTTATCATAAATACCGTACTAGAATTTAGATGAACTTGTATTACATTTTGGGGCACCAAACACAAGAAAACATTTGTTACAAACTATAATAATACTGTTGAGGCTTATTCTTAATTTTCAACTAGTGAGTTATCCTTGATTTCTTCCCATTGATGAAGAATTGGTGGCAAGAAAAGTCAACAATTGTTACAGCAGTTCTGTGAACATTTTTGGATGTACTGAGGTTGTGGTACACCTGCAAAAATAAGAGTTAAATGAAAACAGTTGATAATTTTGTCTTAAAAGGCCTGCAGACTACAGTCGTACTTCAGAATTGAACAGAATCCGTTCCAGAAGTCCGTTCAATTTCCAAAACGTTTGACTTCCAAAGTGCCACTTCTGATTGGCTGCAGGAAGCTCCTGCAGCCAATCGGAAGCCGCGGGAATCTCATCAGACGTTCGGCTTTCGAAAGAACTTTCAAAAACCGGAACACTCACTTCTGGTTTTCAGTCGTTTGGGAGCTGAAACACTTGACTCCCAATGTGTTCGGGAGCCGAGGTATGACTGTCTTCTTCTTCTTCTTCTTCTTCTTCTTCTTATTATCATTATTATTATTATTATACCCCACCCATCTGGCTGGCTTTCACAAGCCACTCTGGGCAGCTTGCAGTACATATAAAAACACAGTAAACCCACCAAAAACATTAAAAATGTCCCAATGCAGATGTTTTCTAAAAGTCAGATAGTTTTGACATCTGATGGAAGGGCATTCCACAGGGAGGGTACCACTGCCAAGAAGGCCCTATGCCTTGTTCCCTGTAACTTCATTTCTTGCAGTGAGGGAACTGCCAGAAGACTAGATAAAATGCCTCCTACATATCTTTGCAGGGGGGTGAACTTTAAGGCTGTGGGTTCGGAATACTCTTCCCAAGTGTTTGGGGATATGGTGTTCTTTAAAGCATTTTCCAATCGCAGCAGGAGAGAGGGAGAGAGAGAGAGAGAGAGAGAGAGAGAGAGAGAGAGAGAGAGAGGCAATAGTGGCGGCTTGGTTGCAATGGTTCACAATAAGGTTTCTCCACATGAATCCCCAGAGATGGCACGAAAAGGCAAGTGGTCCCTCACTAGCATGAATCAGACTTAAGGGGACAGAACATTAGAAGTGGATCATTTCACTGCAAGTTGAGATCCCAATTAGCTGCCCTAAGGTGTTAAGAGGATCAGAAAACATTTTACTATGTGGCGCGTAGCGCTTCATCAGAGCAAATATGATTCTGTTTGCATTTTAATGAGCAAGTACCTAATTCACGCTTCCCAAACCAACACATGAAGTGAAACATAGCTGTGCACCTATCCAAATTATGGTACGCCATTTCCCAACCCACAAGGTGTGCAAAAATGCACAGATTAGTGAAATTAGCATACACAAAGTGTATTCTATCAGGGGAAACAATATTATTATGTTTATATCCCATCTTTCAAGGTGGTATACACAGTTCTCCCCCTTTCCTATTTTATCTTCACAACAAACCAGTAAGGTTGGTTAGGCTGACAGAGCGTAACTGGCCTAAGGTCGCTCAATGAGTATCCTGGCTCAGTGAGAATTTGAGCCTGGGTCTCCCTGGTCCTAGCCTGATGCTATAACCCCCACATTACACTGGCTCCCAGTTACTTGAAAAGGTGTGTCTATTAGTCACACCAGAAAAAATGTATACTGAGAGAAATTCACTCTAACATGCTCGCAAATTTTCATGACAGTTGTTTTCAGCTGTTTAGTGTGAACTTCTCTAAACATGCACATTTTTTGTATGTAGCCTTTGACTAATATGTTGCATCTTTCTATGTCCCCCCCCCATTGTATCTTAACATGTCTTTCATCTTAACGTGTGCCTCTTTTTTACACATCATTTGCCTGGAAAACGGCGTTGCAAAAATTCAGAGAAGCTTCAGTTTTGTATGATAATTGTGCTTTGGTTTGTGGGCAAATTGGGGCATTTCTCGTCCGACCACTAACAAAACAACTCCCCCCCCCCACAATGGTTGATTCAGGCACCCACAAGCAGAAGAGGAAACACAGATCTTAGAAAGGCAAATAACATCCAATCCAGACGAATTTCAATAGGCTTTCGGCTATTCTGCTGTTTTAAAGTGAGGAGTGTTTTGGCCCTGGGATGCAAAAGAAGCAGCTCTCCTGTATTCAGCAGCTCATCAAGAACCCATAGAAATTATACCCTTCAGGTCTTAGTGGGCCTGCTGTACCGCTTTTGCATATATATTGTGAATTACGAGAGGGATCAGGGTGGGGAAGCAACTTGCGCTGCTCCTGTTTGTTCTGGCCATTGTTTATGCAGGTCTGACAGAATGAAGGAACAGTGGGTATCATTTCAATTTCTGATGTCAACATCAAATTACTTATTTAATTTCATGCCTGGCGAAGCATTGTATAGCTACATGCAGAAGCCTTTCACTTCATTTGTTATGCTGTGTTTTCGCAGCCATTGGTTTGCCTTCCAACTGACAGCTTTAATTACGACATGAATTTGATTGCACTGCCGAGGAATTAACATAATGCAACAAAGCGTTTGAGCGCCCGGCCTCGGATACGCACATACCCAAACACAAAACAAGCACATCGGAAGGAAACAGGGGCGACATGCGGCGCTTCCCCCTCGCAGCCCCGCATGTGCATTGTGAGCTGTCTGTCATTCGGCAGACTGGGCGGACTTGGTGGTAGAAGAATTTGGTGGAGCTCTGAGACACACTACTTTTATTACACTTGCGGCCAGTGCAATTTTGCAAGGAAAATAGGTGCCGGTACTCACCACGAGGTTGTTATAGTAAGACACTGGGCGACTCGGGGCAGCCCTGAACAGATGCCAGTTTGACAACAACCACATTCATCGCCCGTGGAGGTGCCAAAAACTACGGCAAGGTGTCTCCCTGGCTGGTTTGGGGGTCTCCCCTGGTTCTGGTGCAGGTCAAATACATGCGTCCTGACCTCCCTTGCTCTCTTAGATCAGGCGGATGGCTAAGGCAGCTCAGAAGGGTCCTCATGCAAACGTGTGTGCGTGCAATGGTAGAGGCCTGTCTGGAAAGCTTAAAGCCTGCTGCTGATACATGGGAGACGGATTGAAGAAAAGGAAATAAGAATTGTCCCCACCCCGTAAGCTTGACCAATTGCAGCTCAGAGAGGCTAAAAGCTAGGTGGAGTCATAGATTTTTTATAAAAAAAGTGCAGACTTGCACAAGCTGGCCAGCTTCCATTTTGACTTGAAATTTGGGGCCTATGGAAGAAGCAGCCAATATGGCACCCTCAAAATGTTCCTGGGCCACAATTCCCATCATCTCTCACCATTGGCCATGCTGGCTAAGACTGATGAAAGGTAGAATCCACAACATCTGGAGGAGCACAGCGTCCCCCATCACCTGCTACCTGCTACACTTACCTGAGGGTGTCAGGGGCGGATCCTGGGGTCTCCTGCATATAAGGCATGTGCTGTGTCGCTGAGCTATGTCTCCTCCCCTAGAGGCAGTCATAGAGAGTTAGGAAAGAAATAGGATTTTCCCCAGGTGTTGCCGGACTACAACTCCCATCATCCCTCACCATCTCTGTGCTGGCTGGGGCTGACAGGAGTTGGATACCAACAACATCTGGAGAGTACCATGTTTGCTACCCTAGTGCTATGTGTCAAGTGCATGTTTTACATGGAGTAGGTCATCAGTCCCTTGCATCTCTAGTTTGAAGTGCCTACTCTGTGTAGAGAAGGGATGGAGGAGAGCCTCCAGCCTGCAGACCCAATTAGACCTGGGCCAAGGCTCCCTATTTGGCCTATGAGGCCATTTCCCCACCCATGCTGCCATGTATTTGACTTTAAGTATTTGGGTGGGTGGCGCTGTGGGTTAAACCACAGAGCCTAGGACTTGCCGATCAGAAGGTCGGTGGTTCAAATCCCCGTGACAGGGTGAGCTCCCGTTGCTCAATCCCTGCTCCTGCCAACCTAGCAGTTCGAAAGAACATCGAAGTGCAAGTATATAAATAGGTACCACTCCAGCGGGAAGGTAAACGGCGTTTCCGTGTGCTGCTCTGGTTTGCCAGAAGCGGCTTAGTCATGCTGGCCACATGACCCGGAAGCCGTATGCCGGCTCCCTCGGTCAGTAAAGTGAGATGAGTGCCACAACCCCAGAGTCGGTCACGACTGGACCTAATGGTCAGGGGTCCCTTTACCTTTACCTTATTGGGCAGGTAGAGATAGAGATGGATCGACTGTGAAATCATGTTCCCAAGGGGAACGGGACACATGGTCAATCCCTGCAGGCAGTAGGCATGGAGTTACAGCTCAACAACTGATCAGTGGAGGCTTCAAGCAACATATGAATGTACACATCCAGCAGATAATAAATGCAACCCAGCAGTGCTATTGTGGACTCAACGATAGCCCTAGTGAGCTATGTAGAGGCAGAAAAGATCTGGGGATCACATGTCCTGGCACCACCCTTTATGTCCAGCCACACCCCTCCACTCTTGGCTTCCATTCATTCAGTGGGGAGGTCAGTTCTTCAGCCAGTTGTGCCTTGAAGCTTCTCCATGTTCAGGAGTGTTAGGCTCACATTGGCAAGACAGCCTCAAATGACATTTGGCTGACCTCCCTTCTGACCTTCATGTGAAAATGATGGCCGTTGGGATTGGAGGAGTTGGAGCCAGTGCATGTGGGGATTTTGGGGGAGAGCAAGCGCACATAGGGGCACACACACAACCTCACACACACCAAATAAGTGATGCCCTCACACATTTGCTTGAACACCAGGCTAAAATGGCACAATCAGCAGGTTCACCTATTGTTTTTTTGTTTTGCTTCTATAGAGCAAGCACAGCCACTACTATGCTCCAAGTGTAGACTAGATGGTTCTGAAATGAAATCAACAAGCCACATCTGCTCAGCCTCCACCCAATTTCAGGCAAATCATACTGCTAAAACCAGCCACTAAGAGGCTGACATGCACGGTTAAGGGCCAGGCCCCCTCTGCCTCCTCTGTAGTTCAGGAGACACTTTTCCCCCTTTGCAGCTAATTTTAATTTTTTGCCTGCTCTTCTATGGAACATGTGTATTTGTGTGTGCTTGTGCTACCTATTCCACTCTTTTTGTGGTGGAATGTCATAAACTATGAATAATCACCAAAATGGAAGCACACTGCCAATATAGGCCAATAGTCCAATTTTTGACAACACTCCTGCCCCCTTTCACCACATAATCCCTAACATTGTTTGCTTTTCTGACAGTGGCTGTACATTAAGCTAATGTTTCCAGAGAGCGATTTCTACTAATTCACAGATCTCTTCCACGATTGGTAACAAGAGCCAAACACAGAGCCCTTGGTGTTGCCATCATTTAATTGTTTACTTTCTTCTCTCTCTGTCTCCCAATGCCCAATTTGCTGTGGCATCTTCTATATTTCATTAGCTCTAAACACAATTTCCAATGCTCCATTAGCAAATTCCCTTAATGCCCTAGAATATTCTAGAACCGATGTGTGGAGATGAGAGTCTATAAATAAATAAAAAAAGGAGGGGGAGGGAGGAAGGGAGAGAGAGGGAGAGGGAGAGAGACTCGAAAATGTGCTAAATGCGTGAAAATACGAGCAAGTGACAGTGGGAGAGGAAGAGAACGTTGGGCTGACTCAAATTCCAGGTTGAGGAAAAACAGAAGGAGCAGCCATCTTGCCTTAGAGCAAAATCTCAGCTGAGCGAATTCTACTGCAGGCGAGATTTTGATGAGATGAAATTGGCGACAGCGCTCTGCTTTACATAAGGAAGGGGAGGGCTGACAGCTCCGGCGTCTCTGAAGCCCTGAGGGCAGCCTTATCCAGAGAGCAGAAAACAAGTTGTCATCCTCCCCGCCACCCAAAGCCAACAGAAGCAGAGATACAGCAAGAGGGGAGGGGGCAGGAAGGTTTAAGGGACTCAACATGGATTCATCACCATGGTGTCAAGTGCTGTTGGCTAATTAATTGCCCTTAATCTACCAGAGGGCAAGTTTTCTGTTCATTAATTTATTTCAGAGATGTGCTCTCTCTCTCTCTCTCTCTCTCTCTCTCTGACTGAATTACAGGCGAGGGGACGGGGGGAGATAAAATTTATATTTGATCAGAACCATGACCCATCTAAGGCTTGCTCTGAGAGACGTCTCGGAGAATGCAGTCGGAGTTCCTCCACTGTGTTTGTGCCTTTTTCGCAGCCTGTGCCTCCCTTAACACAAGGATGCTTATTTGGAAGCCATTATTCCGCCGATCCTCATCTTCACCCACTTAGGAAGATTGACTTTGCCTCCACAGCTGTCGCCAATCAATGGTGGAAACACAGCCACAATCTTTGCCAGCTCGTGAGATTTTCAGCCAACTGGGTATTTACTGTTAGAATTGCTTCTTCTTACTCTACCTGGGTTTCTTATTGCAACCTAAATTTCTTAGTCTGGGTGTCATGGGCCAGGAGTTAGCTTCACCCGATGAACAGCAACCTGAAGGGGGAGAAGTGACTCCATCAGTCTTCGCAGAGGAGAAGGCACTGATGAGAACCAGATGGCTCTGGCTGTCTTAAAATAGAGCTCTCAGCAGCAGTCAGATGCTGGAAACAACACCTGCAGTTCTTGGCCCTACCTTGCTGCTTCCTGGTCTCCATCTGGATTCCCTGACTTCTGGACTGGATCCCTGGCTCTGTGACCATCTGGAATCCCTGACCTCTGGACTGTCTGACTTTTTATGTGGATTCTGCTCTCAGGCAAGCGTTCCTCGGGGACTTAGCTAGTCCCTGCTTGCTCGGCAACGGGAGTTGGATGGGGCTATGTCACTGGGTCATCAACAACAAGAACAAAGGTTGCAACCTGACTCTCCCAGGAAGAATGTCAGGGCAATGTGACCTCAGCTATTGACTAGAGAAGGAGTGGCTGTAGAGAGCTTGGAAGACTACCTGATTCAAACTGACTTTTGCTCTCAGACTGCAGGTGTGCGGGGAAGCCAACGCTGACCTCTGCCACTAGTGAGAGGAACAAGATCGTCTGGGTTGGCTGAAGCTCCTCTCTTCAAACAAGGCCACCCACAATGGAAGACAGCTGTGGGGAACTTTAGCCCACCAGAGGTTGCTGAACCAACAGCCAAGGCTTCCTCCAAGAATCCTGGGAAGCATAGTTTGTTTACAATACTGAGAGTTGCTAGGAGCCTCCCCATTCCCTTCACAGAGCTACAATTCACCGAATTGTTTAACCATCAATCCTCATCGCTTAGACTTCTGGGAACTCTAGTTCTGTGAGGGCAGTAGGGGCCTCCAAATAATTCTCAGTACCCTAAACAAACTACACTTCTCATGATTCTATGGGGAAGCAATGGTCATTTAAAATGTTATAATAGTGATTTAAATGTATGGTATGAATGTGGCCCAAATCTGGCAGTCATATAAAGGATCATAAGTGCTCCTTCATCCCACATATCCCTCCAAGGCAGACAATCCCTCTCCCTAATAACTCTCAATGAACAAACACTGCTATTTGCGTATTCTTTAGCAAAATTCCCATCTCCCCTTTTTATTAGGAATCAACCAGTGGGCCATCTCTCATCCCAGGAAGGCTCACCAAACAGAAACAATTTCCGAATCCCAACTGAAGACGGGATTTTTGTTGTTGCTACAACAAGTTGGAAACCTCACAAAACGTTGCTAAGAAATGCAGACAATATTTCTTCATTTGATTGAGCTGGAGGAAAATGTAGAAGACTATTTACTTTTCATAACGAAAAGAATCTGACAAAAAGGCTGGAGGCCACCACAAGTTTGGCTAGCAAGATATTTATCTCCTCGCGTGCTTGTTATGTCTCTCAGTCAAAGTCACCAGCAAGCTGGAGATTGTGAAGCTTCGGAGGAAAAGCATGCTTAAATTACTGCTATGTTAGCAAAGTGTGTGAAGGATTGTTATTAGCGGAGATGGTGCCAAGCTTTTTTGACAGATCAGGTTTTTCCTTGGTGGGGATGGATTACAATTACCCACACCCCATTTATCCCAGGGCTGTCAGTTCTTGTGATTTTAACAAAAGTCTCCAGAACTTAGGTATTTCCAAAGCTCCGGCTGCTGAGATGAACGCCGAGCCAAAACCACTCAAGTTCCAAACTTTTGTTTTCACTTTTGTTTGAAAAATGATCCACTTTCTCAGCTTATCTTTGGTACCTCTTGTGAAATATTTCTTTATTTAGAAAAAATATATGGTTTGGTCCGCATGGCTGTTTCCATGTCCTCATACATAGGAATGCCAGTTGGCTGCAATCTTATTGGCTCAAAATGGAATTACAACCTCTTGGCCAATGACTAGGATTAGGTGACCCCAAACCAGGGGAAAGAAAAGTCCAACTGAGCTGTTATTTTTTGCTGTTAAGTGTTCATCTGTGTGGTATCATAGCCTACACATGTGAGCTAAAGCATCATGAGGAAGAACTTCCTGGAAGTAAGAGCTGTTCACCATCAGAAGAGAGCCAGTGTGGTGTAGTGGTTAAGAGCGGTAGACTCGTAATCTGGTGAACTAGGTTCACTTCCCCGCTCCTCCACATGTAGCTGCTGGGTGACCTTGGGCTAGTCACACTTCTCTGAAGTATCTCAACCTCACTCACCTCACAGAGTGTTTGTTGTGGGGGAGGAAGGGAAAAGGAGATTGTTAGTCGCTTTGAGACTCCTTAAGGGGAGTGAAAGGCGGGATATCAAATCCAAACTCCTCCTCCACCACCACCACTCCTCCTCCTCCTTCTTCTTCTTCTTCTTCTTCTTCTTCTTCTTCTTCTTCTTCTTCTTCTTCGGTTTTCAAGCAGAGGTTGGATGGCCATCTGTCAGGGTTTCTTTAGCTGTGATTCCTGTATTCTAAACTCTGCAATTCTATGATTTATGTGAAATGTGCCAGTTTTATTCTGTTCAGTAGTGGCTGGTGCCCATTGGGTCTGGTAGGGAGAAGGGCAAGGAGGCTACTGAGGAAATGACAGGCAGAGTCAGCTGATTCTAGTTTTGTCCCCATCCTCCTCCAGCCAGGGCCACCCTCTAGACTAGAAGTAAGGAAGAAGGCAGGGCAGGTGGTAGCCAGCTAAGAGCAGGCTGAGGCTGTTAAGGCAATGCCCTCATGGACCAGCCTTCACTGTTTGCAGTGCCTAAACCAGTGAAGAAAAGCCTTATAGAACAGAACCAAGGTTCATCTAGTTGAGGGCCTCATTTGCTGCTGGGCAGTTTCTTGGGGGCCACATGCTATTGTGGAGGCCAACAACAAATGCTATTATACAGTCACAAACCTGGTAAAATACATCAAAATAATAGAATTTCAAACATATGGAGAGTTAAAATATGTGGAAGCTGGCTTATATAAAAGGCAGAAACAATCCAATTTTAGGGTGTGTTGAATTTTACACCTTTCAAATTCCAAAAATGAGGGGTTGCTAAAAAGTTTTTAAATGACTTAGGGATTCAAAAGATATTTTGACTACATTGATACAATTTAGTTTTGATTGGAAAGTAATGTGTGTGTGTGAAATTGCATAGAAACAGTTAATAATGATTGCAAAGTATTTACAGTTGTATTATACATTAATATTTTCAGAGTGCTGTGATTACATGGGTATAAAAGGGGTGAAACAATATTTCAGGTATTCTGGTCTCAAGCTGTATATTAGGGCTGTATACACCCAAGCCAGCACCATGGGGCTCAGCTCAGTAGGAAGTTTTCAAAGGAAAAAATTCAAGAGCCATGTGCAAAAGGTCTGGTTTGCATGTTTGAAAGAGGAACAATGAGAATTTAAGCCACTGTACACGTGTAAAG